AGAGAGAGAGAGAGAAGGGGGGGGGTTATCAAATTGCACTTTCAATATAAATTCTTATAAATTTTATCGAACGAAAATCTTCCAAACAAACCATGAGTCAATCTTCGGCTGCTCTGCAGATTGATCCGGATGTGGAGAGCAATGCTCGAGTGCCACCATCTTCAACACATTACCATCTCCCTAGCCTACCACACCCGAATCTCCGCAGTTGCAGCACGAACTGAGTCCCAAAAGCAGGCATCAGCCTGCCTTGAAAATGAGCTCAATTCTCTAAGCTCAAGCTTCTCAGATTGGGTAAATGCTCAAAAATCATATGTTGAGGCCCTCAAAGGCTGGCTCTTTCTATGCATATTACCACCCCGAGAAAACTCATCAAGTAGAAGAAGAAACCAATATCTCTTCTCACCTTGTCGAGAACTTGCTCCTCCTATATTTGCTCTTTGTCGAGATTGGTTATCTGCATTTGAGACCCTACCGATAGCAGAAGTCCCTAATGCCATTAAGAGCTTAGTGGCAGAAGTGCAACACCACCAGAATAGATTGCTCAATGATAGCACAGAGGGCAGTGAGGAGAAAGAAACAGAGAGTGAGAAAGTTCCGGAGCAAACACTTCATTCTAATTTGAAAGATTTGCAAGCTGGCTTGACCCAAGTCTTTGATTGCCTAAGAAATTTTTCAGAAGCATTGGTCAAGATGTATGAGGATATCAGCCAGAAGTGTGAGAGAGCTCGTGTTGCTTATACTAGTGGGAGAAGAAGAGCAGCTTGTTGAGGTGAGGAAGAGGGGGCAAATATTGGAGGTGCATACACTACTATATGATTTTTTGGTTTTTTAATCAGAAGCTGGTGAAAGGGTAGAATAAAGTTCTATTGTTCTATGATTTCTGGGTAGAAGTAGATTCTTGAATTTAAGACAGGTCCCAAATTTTGGCGTCCAGAGCTTCTAACACCTTCTTAAATTGTTGTATATTGGGAATGAATAAAGGCCTTTTGATTAAAGGTGGCATATGGTTTTTCTTACTTTGCTGCCAATAAAGGTTTCTTCATTATTTCTTTCAATTTATACTGTCAAATTCTGCATTATTCTGGGACGTAGAATGTAACTTACCTCTCTGATCATGATATTAAATATCTTTCATAGAACCATGTGATTTGGCACTTTGATTTCTTCGAAGGCTTTCATAAAGTGGTTTGTGGGTTTCTCCATCACTTGTTTCAGTTGTTGATCATCTGCCTATGCATGACAGGGATTTTAATTTGGTGAATATTAGGCTTATCTCAACTTGATAGTATGCTGGGTTTAAGTCATGATTCAGAACTCTGTCATGATATCAGATATAAGAACTGATGTCTTCCGTTCAGGTGCTGCCCAAGAAAGTATAATATTGGTTATTGTTATGGTGCAGGCTGTTTGCTCAATCAGCGGATGTGGTCAAATGTCTAGAAATATCTAGTTTCCAATAGCCTAGGGTTTTTATTAGGCATCAATTTTAGACAATCAAGGTAAGAGAAGCCTCAAAACTGTGCCAACAGTAGTTTTGGTGCTGGAAAGCCTTGTGTTAGCGTGAACCATCACTTCTAATTATGAAATTTAAAGCTCTAAAAATGTTATCGGTAAACTATTAAAAATTTGAAAAATATACGGTTTAGATAATGCATTGCAAAATGCATCATTTTTATGACTTGAAATCATTTTAGTCATATCAATACATCTAAAGGTTGAGATTATCAATTTTGAGTGTTTTCCAATACCGGAACTTCTAATGGATTTTTGAGGTGACATTTATTTAGTAGTATAAGGTTAACACTATATATAAACTTTTTCTAAAAATAAATAGATCCATATTTTCTGTAAATTTGCATATACCACTATATCCTATTCTTCCAAAATAACACCTGGTATCCCCTATGAAAGTGTTAATATGAAAAATATGCATGTCTATAAAGAACATGGATTGGGCCAGTCACCTTTTATTGATCCACTGAACGCCAAGGCCGGCTGAATCAATGTGGGGTTGGATCTCTACTCATGGTATTGGTACGTATTCATGGTTAGGGTAGTGGATAAAAAAACGACTGGATTGGCAATTCCATTTGTGGCTGAATGTAGCCCTCAATGAATATTCCATAAAACTATCATACTCAGAATCTGTTATTTTTCAAATAGCCTTTATATTTTCGAAAAGGGAAAGGTTTGTATAGAGCCGAAGCTTTAAACAATCAAATTTGAGCCTACCTCAAAATTTCACTAGAAGAGGTTGTTTTGATGCCCAAATATCTTGAAATTGATCATCTCAACATCAAGATGCATGGATATGATAAAAAATAGATTTCAAGTTTTGACAATAGTGTATTTTGTATTGCATTTTTGGACTATCAATTTTCAAGATTTTCAAATTTTTATAGATCTATTGATCTACACTATTTTTTAAGCTTTAAACTTTATAAATAAATATAAAAATATATTTTAAAGCTATCACAAAGATTTCCAGAAGTAAAACCACATTTCTCAATACTATTTGAAGGTAGGCTCTAATTTGATTGTTCAGAGCCTAGGCTCTATATAAACCGCACCCTTTCAAAAAAGTTACTCTTGGGAACTCATCGATTTCCAGTCCAAGTTGCAATTTGAGCCTTTTTGAGGGTTTTTCACAACAATTTGACTTGGGGATTGTCTACAAAGAGACACTTTATTTTTGATACAAAGAGGTTACAATCATTCTTGTACCTTAGATTTCAAAATGGGTAGTCGTAAGAGTATCATTGATTAGACATAAAGTTTCAAAAATAAAAAATTCTCGGACTTCACGACTCACGACATCTAATGAGTGGGAATAATTGTGACTTCTTTGTACAAAAGGTGAATGGTCTGTTTATAAACAATCCCCTTACTTGAACACTATTTGATTTTCAAATTTAAATTAATTCCCAACTGCATATTGTACGAAATCAGTCCAAATTATTTTGCAAAAAAATTGATTTGGCTTTTTTCTCTCTATCACCACCTAGCAACCACCATCATCATATTTGCCACACCAGCCCCACCACCACAACTGCCTAGCCGCCACCACTACACCACAACCACTGCATAGCCACCACAGTAGCAGCCTAGGCATCTTCATGCCACCACCACCACCATGGCCTAACCGCAGCCACTACTCTGCCGCTATCAATACAAACACAACACCGTTGCCTAGCCACCACTACATCCGCTTCACCACCTTCCACACCATCTACTACACCACCACCACTACCACGACATTAAACCACCATACAAAAAAAATCATATTTCAAATTGAAACAATCAAAACTCTAGAGAGAGATTGATAACCACCATACAATAAAAATCATATTTCAAATTGAAACAATCAAAACTCTAGAGAGAGATTGATAATTCACTAAATTGTCATTTCAATTACAATTGGAGATTAAATTTTGAAATAAACGATGCCTTGCACAATTTGTTTTCGGCCTCACCAATAATGCTTGGTCAAAATGGAGTTTGAACCATGGTTTTAAGTCTGACTCAACTCGAAGGTGCTCACATTCTTAAACCTGAGGTTGGGTTCAGACGTTTTCTGTGTAGAGAGACGTAAACTCATTTTTCATTGAGAGAATGAAAGGAGTACATTGAAAGAAGAAGAGAAAGAAAAGTGAACAAAAAAAAAAAAAAAAGCAAGGAAGAAAGAGGAAACCCAAGGCTACCACCCCAAGGATCTAAGAAGAAAGCAAGAAGAAGCCCTAGGCAGCAGTCGGCTCTTTAGTAGCATATCCACATCTCCATTGTGTTCCCTGTGTCCATGGCTAAAGAGCATCTCTCTTCCTTGTAGGCCATAAAAGATTAGGAAATTATCACAAATATGCCTTAATTTTCGTCTATTTAGAAAAAAACTTCTAATTTTCATAAAACTCATTTTTTTTTTCAATTTACGGTACTTTAAGTATCATAAAACTTAAGTCATATTATATGGCATTTTAACTACAGCCATATTATACGGTATTTTAACTACCGTATCACTAAGATGTGCGCCATCTCCAGCTTATCATTTGACTGTCCTCATCCCTTGGTGGATGGCCATCTCCAGCTTGTCCCAAGATCTTCCCACCACCAAACACTTACACGGTACCACAATGGCAAGGCTATTGGTATCCGGCAGATCATATCGAGGCAGCAATGGATTTCTCCATACTGGTCATCCCGGCGATATTCTCTTGGTCTCTGCCCCCCAAACTGGCACCACTTGGCTCTCAGTCCTCCTCTTCTCCATAGCCAGCCATGGCTCATCCTAAAAGAAGAGGCGCACAAGCTTATCCTGCCCTTGTCACTGGAGATGGCGCACATCTTATCCTGCCCTTGTCACTGGAGATGGCGCACATCTTATCCTGCCCTTGTCTCTATGATACTGCATTTGCCTCTGTAATATGGTAGTTAAAATGTCGTATAATTTGGCTTAGGTTTTATTATACTTAAAGTACCGTAATATTAATTGCCGTATAATATGTGCCGTATAATATGGCTTAAGTTTGACAGTACTTAAAATACTGTAATATTAATTCAAGTTGTTATTTTGGTCACAACACGTCCAAAATTGAAAAAAAATGATGTGCACGAAGTTTATAAAAGTTGGGGTTTTTTTTCTAAATAGATAAAAATTAAAGTATATTTGTGATAATTTCCCTAAAAGATTTCATCCATAATAGCAATAAAAACCATGGAATTTGATCCGGATTTTTTGCAGCAAGAGATCACATTTGCTAAATCTCCTTACAAAATAAGATGCATATGACTCAAATCCAGTTTGGACACGAGTTTTCAATGCCCACAATTCAGTTTCATTAAAGTGGTCGGATCAACCTTGATAAGACCACAAAATAATCCCATTAGAATATCTGAGTAAGCTACCATACCCCCATATTTGCTCCTCTACTCTAACACTGCCATCAAAATTAATTTTGAGCCACCCTCCTGAAGGTGGATGCCATAATGTTAATCTAGTATATCTGTGCTTTTTGAGAAAGAGGAGCTCCTTCAACAAAATGAGGAGTTCCTTTCGATACTCCTAAAGGTGGGATGTGCCTGTGCCCGACTCGTGAACGAGGCTGTTACACCATGACACATCTGGGTCGTGTCCCTAGTTCTCCCTTAAAAAACTGTGGTTACTTTCTTCGTAGACAATCCACAGAACTGCTGCCAGCATAATTCTCCACAGAACAAAACCTTGGGCCGTAAAGAATGGAGAACAACCTTGTCCTCATCCCATCCCCACCAATACACTGCTATATGCTGTGAACGGAGACCTCACCAAAAGGATTCCTTTCATTCTTAAGGCTTTGTTTAGCAATAAAGCCATCAGGATCTCACCCATACTTCCCAAGTATATCTCCTCCCAGAGTTGTCCATTCTATCTTGATAGTCTCTACCACCATTTTGTTAAAAGAGCTTGAAATTCCTCATTAAAGCTTCTACTTTCTTGATTGTGAAGCGGGGGCTAGAGGGAGAGCTAATATAGATTGGGAGATTTGTCAGTGTAGCCCTAATGAGAGTAGTGTGCCCCCCCCTCCGCAAAGAAAGATATCTAGACTTCCACCAATCAACCTTACGATGAAACCTTTAAATTATCAGATCCCAATGTCACGAGATTGTCACCCATCACAAAATGGCATACCAAGATACTTAGTGGGAAATAAATCCACTCCACATTCCAGCGATTCAGCCCAAGCATTAACTTCATTGTTTGTACAATTAATACCCAATAATCTTGTTTATTTCATATAAATTTTGGACCTTGAAATCGATTCATACCCCTTCAAAAACAGCCAAATATGTTGAATGTCTTCAATGGTTCAGCTAGAATTAACATATCATCTACATATTGTCGGTTTGACAAAATTGGGCCAACATTCCATGCTTGCAATCCCCTAATCAACCCACTCTCCTCAACACCTTTAAGTAACTTACTAAAAGGTTCAGTAACCAGGATAAGATGAAAGGGGACAATGGATCACCTTATCGAATGCCCCTTGATGCCTTAAAATATCCACAAGCCTTTCCATTAATGATAATAAAAAAAAGAACCGACGATAAGCATCCCTTGATCCACATCCTCCATCTACTTCCAAAGCCCATCAATTTCATGATTTTGTCAAGGTATTCCCACTCTACTTTATCATATGGTTTTTCAAAATTAACTTAAGGGGAACACCTTTTCTGCCCATGCTTCTCATGGTATGTATAATCTTTTGTGCCAATAAAACTCCATCCATGATCTGTTGATCTTTGATGAAGTTGTTTGGAGACCCTCTACCACCTCATTTAAGACCCTTCTTAGTCTTTTTGCCAAAATCTTTGCCAGAATTTTGTAAGTTGCTGAGAGCAGACTTGTGGGTCTGATATCTTGTAAAGATTCAAGAGTATCTTTTTTAGGGACTAAGTGATAAAAATAGAATTGATGGCTTTATAGAGGACGACATCCTCATAGAATTGTTAAATTCAATTTAGTAGGTCTTCTCCAACTATATCCCATAACTTTTGAGAGAATGCCAAGGAAAAGCCATCAGGCCCAAGGGCTTTATCTCTAGGCAGACCAAACACTCCTTTCTTTAGTTCATCCATGTTAGATTTTGCCTCCCAAGGCTAGAGAAAATCTCTCTGAGAGGCTCTTGAAGGGTACTTCTTCAAGATTGAAAGGCAGACGGGGCTCTGTTGTAAATGCTACCTGTTTAAATTGTTAGATCTTCTTCTTGAGCTTGTATGGAAGTATTTGGGTTTTTTTTTTCGATAATCTTAACCTTAAATTGATAGTGAAGAAAGAAGAGTACAAAGGACATTGGTGATACACAGAAAAGAATGGTCAAGGGAAGACAAAAAAATATCCCCCTACTTTATCCATTTTGGGCAAGATCTTTGATACCAAAATGTCTCCCCCATTCTTAATCGATTGTCCAAATCCTTTCAATTTTTCTGTAGCCCGCTTTTGATCATTACTTAAGCCCCATTAACTTGTTCAATGTTATTAAGATGCTCTATATTGCTCGATGCTAGTGCAATTTTTGGGCTAAATTTCCAAATTTGCTATCTCCTCATTGTTTAAGCCCCTGCTTCAACATTTTTAACTTGCGACTGACCAGGCCTCTTTATGCGTGGTGTTCTAAGTATTTAAAACTTTCACTCGTAAATTGTTTTCACCCAACCACATGAGTTCAAAGCGAAAAGGGGAAGGACCAAAAGCATCCCCCTCTGTGTCAAGCAAAATGGGAACATGACTAGAGGCCAAGTGGGTTAAAGTTTTCACCATGGATTTGGGAAATTAGCTTCCCAAAGGTCTGATGCAAGAAAGCGATCTATCTAGTTAAAACATTTTTGGGGGTGAAGAGCATAATTATTTATCGATATATATAGAGAGCCCACAATGTTAGAATCCATTAAGCTATTGTCCCTCATAAAATTATCAAAAGCAATCATAGCACTATTAAGACAGCTTACGGTTAAGGTTTCATGTGGTCCTCTAGTTTGATTAAAATCCCCTGTCCCATACCAAAGATATGAATACCTAAAAACAATATAAGATAAAGTAGCAAAAAAGCTTTCGATAGGGCATATCGGTCCATAAACATTCGACAAGCACCAACAAAAGGGGCCAGGTCCATTAAACATCACAAGTAATAGATCTAAAAATTCAAAAACAGACTTCCACAGACCGGAGGTCCCATACAATCAAAAGACCTCCCAAGGGGCCAAAGAAGGAAAAAAAATAGAAGTCTACTGAGCATGTGCCCCAAAAATATTCCAGGAAAGCATCTTCATTTGGGCCGAAACTCTCGGCCAACCCGAGTGACCCCCGGAGGGCCAATAGAGAGTGGATCAAAGGGTAGCGCAGCTGCCATTCCTCCATCTTTCTCTGAATTCTAATTCTTGCTCTCCTCGAACAGGGGTTTGGGTTAACAGAATTTCTCCCACAACAATGGTCTCCTCTGCAATCCTTACCTCTCCCGAAAACTTGACATGCATGGCCCTCAACATCTCTTCAGACCTCAGGGAAAGGTTGTCCTCCAAAGAGTCTGAGGACTCCGAAATCAGAATTGGGGGGGGGGGGAGAGGGAATGTTGGCAAGCAACACGCCTCTGGCTCAATTTTCTTCTGTGGCCACCATTGATGGAGTTTTGATGACCATAGATGGAGTTTTGATGATAAGGGTACCCCAATTGCATCCACCCTGCCATTGAGAGAAGGTCATCCTTACCGTGCCCTCTGAATGGGCAGGAAGCAAAGCAGGGTCACACAAGGTTACATTTTGGTCTTGTGCGTCAATGATGGTAATTTTTTGGGCAGCCATGGGGAGTTACATTTTGGTCTTGTGAGTCAATGATGGTAATTTTTTGGGCAGCCATGGGGAGTTACATTTTGGTCTTGTGAGTCAACGATGGTAACTTTTTGGGTAGCCATGGGGACAAATAGTTTTTGGCAGCGGTTAGGGTTTTGATTAAAATAGAAAGGTTCAGGCCAGAAATGAGAAGCATGAAAAAACTTTCACCATGGTCTCCAGTTAAGGAAAAAGTATTCGTGTATAGAGGCATAATCTGAAGAGATACATCTCTAGGGAAAGGACAGGTGGGAAAAGGTATACTTGCCTTTTCCATGTCATGACCTCTGTGTTGCTCTAGTACAACCGCTTCTTTGCCTTTCTTAAATCTTGAAGATCCAACTTCCTCCTCCATCACCGTCAGATATGCTCTGTGGACAATCGTCCTGGGCTCACTTATGGACTTTTCGGGGGTGCTGCGATGGGAAACGTCCCGGTTGGACTTCATGGATGCAACCATGATCAGCCCCTGCTCCGATGGCTCTCCATTTTCGTACGCTGACCTGTCAAACAAAGTTGTCCCATGCACACACCCATGGGAGTATCCGTTGGTGAAGAGTATCCTTTTGAATTTGATCTTCAGCTGCTGAGTCTCTTCCCGCCAACAGAAGCCTCAGCATTGGAGCCAATAGCCTTTCTTCTCCAAACCTGCCTATTGGTCTACAAATTTGGCCATTTACCAGTTGATGCAGTTTATGTTTTCTCTTTTTGGAAACTAGGTTCCATTGTTGCTGTGTGTTCCCCTGCTTTTGAGCTGAATGGATCGGTTGCTTACCTTTGCTTTCTACCTCATTCCCCACCGAGGATGAAGAACTTGTAGTGGATCTCAAGGCTATAGTTGGAACTCCTTCCTGCATGATGGAGATTGAATAGTAGTCCTCTTTTATCCAAGCATGGATGGGAATCCCTTCAACATGCAACCAAACCAAGGGGCAATTGCATGAGTGAATGGTTTGCTTTGAAAGACCGCCACTGCAAGGTCATGAGGACACCTTTAAATCTCCAAAACCTCTGTTTAAAAGAAGTTTTTAGCATCTTCTTCTCTATCAAAGATCATAAGCGCCCAGTTGCCTGCAATAGACCTACAAGAGAGGCTACAACCCCAAGTCATACTTAGATCTTTGACAGGGGGCCTGAAAGAACAGACTATTGCATTTCGTAACATAGCTCTCCACATCTCAATAGAATTGTCCTCCAACTCAATAACCTTCACCTCGTCCATGGCAGCAGAATCCTGAAGGGGTGTTGGCATCACAGCTGCCCTTGCCTGTGTTCCCAACTCATTCCCATGCTGTTTTGGGCAGTACCTCGCATCACATCTCATCTTTGTTGCTGGCCATCGTGAACCCTTCCTTGAGAGAACCTCAACTCCCAAAACAACTCTCTCCAACTTCTACTCCAGCCTCCACCTCCATTGCCCCTATCTCTCCACCTTCCTGGATCTATTTCCGGTCAACTTCTCTGCAATTGACTGCATGACTTTTGGTTAACGCCAAATCCCACCATTCTTTCCTCTATGGCCTCGAATATATATACTTTAGTCCTCTCTTGAGAAGCTACTAATGTTTTACATAACTTGTAACCGAAAGTCAGTTAATTTAAGCTTGGCATGGATTAAGAGTGGCAAAATCAACAGTACCCAAGAAGGGTGTAATTCATCACAAAGAAAATTTAAAAATTAAGGAGATTTTAATCACACAGCATTGCTTACATTTTAGAGCATTGAAAGCTGAAAGTCATTTGCCAACATTTAGACAAAGTAAAGAGCATACAGCCCAAAAAAGGGAAGGCTAACGAAGTACTAAGTACTGTGGAAGGAAAGAAAAGCTTGTTTATATAATTAGAACTTCACGTGAGCCTTAATTAACAGAAATTATTCATTCTAAATTGCGATATTTCCATACAACCACAGCCACATTGCTATATCCATTCACATTTACCAAATCCGGATGAGAAACTCCCTCTTATTTCCCCTTCCCGTGAAATTCATAACCAGTTAAATGCTACAAGACTATAGTAGCAGTACAATTAAAAGCTACAAAAGAGTATCCTACCGTCAACGTGGGCACATCAGAAACCACTTATCATATTCTCTCTCAGTGCACAGCCTCCACATCCAATATTAGGATGTGATGGGAATGCAAATACTGTCCCTAAAATTATAACTTTTGACAGCTTGGCCCCAAGTTCCAGATTAAAATCCAACATATTGGGTGTAGTGTGCATAGGGCTCCGATTGCAATCCAATGGGTGCCCGTGTCACTTCATCAGGGAGATCGAACGTGTCCACAAGTTCTCTAGCAACATTACGCACTTGAAAACAGAGGTATTCTGTAAGCTTGTGAATAGCCTGCAGATAATATCGATCAGGCATCAGAGTGAGTCACCTGTACGTTGTAATAACTGAAACTAATAGACAGAGTGAATAATGTGAACTGTGAAGGAATAAAGATTTTGAGGTTCGAAAATGATATAGCTAGAAGAAGAGAAGTTAAAGAAGCTCTTAGACAGAGAGTACAATACAAAGGATATAAGGTACACAGGTACTCACGAATTAAACTATGGATATCTGTCTTATACTAGTGGGAAAACAACAGGAAAAAAAAAAAAACAAGTGAAATTATAAGTTTTTATAAAATATTTGTCACATGAAGCCGACCCCAAATAGTTGGCATGAGGCTCGGATGATGATGATTAAGTCACGTGAAGAATATTACGACCTTCTGCTCATCCACTAGAGATTTGGGGTGAGCTAGGCATTTCTAGAGAAGATTCCGGAGATGAATAAAAGAAATTATATTAGCTATGAAGATTGAGGTTATCAAAATAAAACTGTCAGAAAGGAAACTGAATGCTTTGGTCATTTCCAGTGATGTATGACATGTATGAACTTTAGAACATCTGGCTGAAGATATCAGAACAAAAACTCAAGATTAAAATCTACAAAAAATTTAATTATTAGTGCTTTAATGTAAACATGGACAGAGTTAAACAACGCAAAGATGCCTACATCATTATAAGTTAAATGATTGGAAATACCTTAGCTTTATTTGGAGCCACGTAATCGACAATCCGATATGTCCCAATGTCATTCCAAATTCGATCCAGGGCATAAAGATCACATACGAGTTTCAGAACATTACGTGTATTGCGGTCTGGACAACTGCAGAGTAGAACCTAAAGAAAGTTAGCATCAAGTAAACTAAAAACCTAAAAAAAAGACACTCACTTCTATTTCACCCCAAAAAAAAATATATATTTACCTCTGAACAGCCTCTATAAACTTTGCTAGGATGACGGATTCAATATGTGACTCAGCTAACGTGAGAAGATGATTCAAGCATCTATTCCATGCACCAAAAGCACCTAGTGTCTTACTGTGTTTGCGAAGGCGAACAGCAACCGTTTGGAGTAAACGAGAGGTGCGATACTGCAAAGAAAATTAAAATACCTCCAATATCTAAATCAGTTATGACCAATGTAAAAGATCAAAATCTCCATATATCATTTACAAGAAGAAAATTATGAGGTCAAAACTTAAAGCCAACTCGGCTCACCTGGAAGGCATCAAGTTGGAACTTAGGATCCCTTAGATGTTCTTGTCCTTCCCAACGTGCAGTTACAGGATTTGGTTGAGAGAGATAAGACCCCATTGACTCTCGTAGGTAGTTCCAGGTTACAGACAGTGCCCCACCTTGAAATTTTTCCCTGTATTGCTTCAAGAGATCTCCTGCTACCTACATAGAGAATGGGAAATTGTACTAAGCTCCGTGCAATTTGCAGGTGTAGGATAGCAGGGCCAGACATCCACATTAAAAAAAAGTATATCACAAATTTATAATCAAAATGAACTATAGTATATGTATTGTCAAATTAGAGTCATCACCATCCAACAAAAGGTTGGAAGAGGCAGAGCAGGACCCACCCGAACAGGAGTTGACCCAATGGTGGGTCCCGCTCTCACTCCATCATCAGACAGCTACAACCCCAATCGATGATGGTTTTCCACGCTTCATTAAGTTTTTTTCTAGGTAAGTGTAAAGGTTATAAGAAAATGGATGGACTACATGAAGAGTGCTGAACCCTCACCATAAAACAGAGAGCAAAGGAAAGGAGCAGTGACACCCATATTCCACTAAACTATAGAATACTTTGGCAAAAAGAAATACTAAAAAAAACTGCAGATAAGGCTTCTCTAGTAATTGATCACCTGCTGAAGCAATACAGTGTTGTCCCCTTCAAAAGTCTGAAAAATATCATGATCGTTTCGTAAGCTCCCAAATCTGTTAACAGCAGCATAACCATGACCACCACAAGCTTCTCGACAAATGCTCAGGGATTTGGCTGTATACCATGTCACATAAGCTTTGAGACCTGCAGAGAGAGCATGCACATCTCCAACCACTAAATCATCCGAAGACTTTTTCATCTCAGAGTACTTTTCCACCAAATACTTTGTCGCAAAATGGAAGGCATAAGTGCAAGCCAACATAGGCATGAGCTTGTGTTGCTGAGATTGATAATCCAAGATACTGATCTCAGGCTGTTTGGGAGGACCAAATTGCTGCCTAAGTAGTGAATATCGAACTGCAATAGTAACTGCAACCTTGAGAACTCCAACTGAAGAATAAGCAATGCCTACACGACCACCAACAAGCTCCCCAAGAGTGGCAGCAAATCTCTTATTGATGGTTGGAAGGCTACTTGAATATTTCCCATCTCTTGAAACATCACCAAAGCGATTGAGCAAATTGTCTCGAGGAATTCTCACTGAACGAAACCTCAAAGCACCATTATCGACTCCATTGAGGCCAACCTTATGGCCACAATCATGGATTTCGATGCCAGGAAGTGGTTGGTGAGTGACCCTGTCCCTTATAGGGACAATAAAGGCATGAACACCAACAGTGGCACCCTCCTTGGATTCATTTGTTGGCAAGACCAATTGAGCAAAAACAGTGGCAAATTTGCCATGAACTGCTGCATTTCCAATCCACCACTTGATGGCACCATCATTGGGTGTGTCGATGATAAACTCATCCGTAACTGGATCAAATGTTGCTTGTGTTTGGAGGCCCTGAACATTCGAGCCTTTCTCCAGGGCATATTGCAAGAAGTCAATCTGTAAGAAACAAATTTACGAGGAAGAAAATATTTGTCTAATCTTGGTATGAAGAACACAGTTTTTTGGTGGGAATGAATGATGTTATCGACTTATAAGACTAGAATACACAACAAATATAAGACATCATATCTACCAGGGTACTACAAGAGCTCACCATGATGAAGTTCTGTCATAGCAAAACAACCTGGGTAGTCCAAGTTATCGATTCCATCATAATACTTGTCTCGGTGCTTCTTGGTCCCCAAATTGATGATTGAACCTCCCCAAAGACTGTACACAGGAGTTTCAGTGACAGTGAACTTGAGAAGCAGATAAATGCTAGCCAGATAAACTATTCTCCACAAATAATGCACATTGCACATGATTATTCAATTTATACTTGACAGATCATTGTATGAGCTGTGAGGGAGAAATTACAAGCGTGTATACTGTGATCCTGCGGAAGCCTACATTTGCTCCCTTGGGCAAAAGACCTACTTAAAAGGATTTCTTGATCTGAAATTTTGGAGTCCACATTAGAAACTCCAGATGAGTGATTTCAAAAAAAATAAAATAAAATAGTTATTGAACACCTTGACCTGACTGTCCAAAAATTGGATGGCTGTGTTCAATCCTATTGCATGATTTTTCTCAGGCACTTCTAGAGTTTGTAGTCAACATTATTGCTTTTCTTTTTTAAAATTTTTTATCACTACTTTGTTACATCCCCAAAGTTTAGGGTCTAAAAAATACTCCTAGCTGGGGTTTCCCCAAGAGAGAAAGTGTACAATTTGCTCCTCCAGGAACACATAGAAGTGGATTGGAACATAATTAGTCAATAGTCAGTAAACAAAACAGTTCTTTGTGAATCCACACCGACGCTGATGCAAAATATAGGGAAACTGCAAGACTCGGGCAGAGCCCTTGGGCTTGGTTCTAGAGCAGTAGGCCACCTTGGTTCCAGAGAAGTAGGCCACCAAGTCCAAGTATGTTTGGCAAGTCCAAGTCGCTCTTACCAAGTATTGATTAACTCGGTGAAGCTAAGTATAACTGTGCAACATTAAGCATTTATTTCTGAGGATTGCTACTATGACCACAAATGTGTGCCTCAAGTATTGGTTTCAACTTTCAATGAAGCCCATACTTCAAGGTTAAATCAAATATATAGGAGGTGGACTGGAAATAGCTGGGAGCAACATAAGATAATTTTCTTACAGATAGGATGAATTTGTATTTGAGTTAGAGAGGAGATAGAGGGGAAAAGACTTGGGAGGAAGGAAAAGATAAAATATTAATGAATGTAGATCAAAATCATACAAATTGTGGAGAAAAATGTCAAAAGATAAGGATAATATAAAAAAAAAAAAATCCATAGTCCTGGAAAAGAAGAAACTTTTAAGGTTGAAGTTTGAAGGGGAAGGAGAGTTGGAAATATGGTGATTGCATTTTATTTATGGGTACCACAGAATGAGACCCGGAACTCGCCCACTGGGCAAGCCTAGTGACACGGATGAGTGCAATTCATCTGCCCCAAGTCCTGCCCAAGCCTCCAAATAAGCCAAAACAGAAGAAGTTGGTGAAAATACTAAAAAATAAGGAAAACTGCTTTCTCGGAATTTCTGAGAAAAGAGAAGAAAAATAAGAAAAAATCAAAACCATAAAAACATAAAAAAGGCTCATACGAAACTAATTATAATTCATTTGTAATTGATTTAGACAAATATTGAATCGATTATAGATTCATTATAATAAATCACGGATAAAATATAATACATACCCAAGTTGGGGGTGTTTCGAACTCATCAGCCTGTTGAATCTGAGTGACTTGGGAGAATCATAGTCAACTGGCCCGAGTTCTATTAACTTCTTTCCATGATAGCAACAGTGACCATGTAACTGAAGTGCAAAATCATGTTTGAAATAAAACAACTGCTTGCATAATTGTATGAAAAACAAATATTGCTTATGCAAGGCTCTCGCCCCATACGTGGTCTATTTGCCCATATCTTTCACGAGACGAACACAGTTGTTGATGCGCTCGCTAAGAGAGCATCAGTTTATTCAAGCGCCTCGATTTGGCGTAGTCGTCAGCAAGAATTTCTTTCTCTTCTTTTACTACATGATTTGGCGCATATGCCCTATATTATTTGATCCAGTGCAAATGCCCTATATTGTAAAATAATGTGTTACTTCTTCTTCTATTAATGAAAAATCTGCGCAGGGGGCCTTGTCCCCCACTTACTTACCCAAAAAACAAATATGGCTTAAACGGTTTCCTCAATTCAAGGAGTATCCGATACAAAACAGCAGTGTACAAGGTAAAATCAAACAGTTCCACATCATGGTCTTAAAATAGATAATAATAAACAGTAAGAACTTGTAAACAATTCCACAGATGCTACTATTAGGTAAACGTAAAAATTCTGATTATTTCCCAAAACATCTAAAGCATCTCAAACTCGTATAACAATGGTGTATAATGAGCCTTAAAAAAAAGGAAGACTAATTCTAAATACAACTCATAATTTGAGTATTAAAGAAAAAGAATTCCCAACAAACCAGAACCCTAATCTTTAGAAACAACCATGAACAAGAATCTCACCTATATTGGACTCCCAACTTTACTCCCAGAGATATATCAATACTCCCTGCCGCTTCCATTATAGCAAAATATTTTTCTGCATCATCCTGAACGTATCGAAAAGGTCTGATCCCGGCCTCCCTCACAAGCCCTAGAAGCTGCCTCATACAAAGCTCTCTGTGATCTTTTGTTGAGATCTCGACTGGAGTTTGAAGGTCAGGCCTACTATTAAAGAACGTGAAAATGATCTCTTGTATAGCTCTATGCTTTCCTCTCATGTAATTTGCCAAAGAATCAGAGCTCACATGGAGCTTTGTCCTAGCACATGGAACAAGAAGAAGCTGGTTCTCTCTGAGAAGACAGGGTTGACCTCCTAAATGTGAAGATAGCTGTTGGATTCGCCTCTCTGCTATCTCTTGATCGTTCTTGGCCTTTGGATCATCCGCTGTAGATGAATAGGAGGAACTAGAAAACCCTAATTTCTCCATTGAAGTTGCAGATAAAACAAGAACAACAAAACCAAAAAAAAATTGCAGAGGAAGGAGAGCGTGGAGTGTCGCACCATTGCAAATGGAGGGAGAGTCTCTTTGCATGGAGATTTGCTGACGGCCAAACACGCCACACTTTAACACGTGGGTAATTCCTATTGGCGTGGTGACGTGATTTCGTGTCTGTGTTTGGCTAAGCCACGTAAGCGCTTTTTTGGGGTCCGATAAGGTTAAAAATTGGGCCTTTGGTCCATACCCGTCGTTGGAAAAGGACGAGTATTTTACTATTTCGGGAAAATAAGGTCGAGAGTGTGGTGTCCTAAACCTTTATCCCAAAATTTTCGAGCTTACGGGACTTTCCAAGTTTGGGCAAAATTAAGTGAGGCTTTAAGCACCTCAAAAATTTATTAGAAAATATTATTTTAATACTAAAAGATCCTAAAATTTGATCATCTTGATCTTAACATGTAGGGATATAAGAGAAAATTGATTTTAAGTCTCATAAATAGTGCACTTTATTATGTTTGTCTAGCCCATCAATTTTTAATATTTTTAAGTGTTCATAGATTTACTTGATTTACATTATATTTTAACTTAAAAATAAATTTTGTAATTAGGAGTGAAAATAAATTTTCAAGCCATCATAAATATTCACGATACTAAAAGAATATATTTCTGTACTATTCAGTGTTCGTAAAATCGAATCGGAAAGGTTAACTGGACATGGGGCCTGACCGAGCAAGTCCCAAATGATCAAAAATTTGTTGAAAAAAAACAAAGTCACAAAAAAATATACTAAAATACAAAAAACATATAAAGAATGATTAAAACAAAATATATTCAAAAGAAATTGAAAATTACTGACAAAATGGATTTTAAATAATCGATTTGTGTTTAGGGGTATTTTTAATTTTTTTTGAAAAAGATAGAAAAATATAATGTAAATAATATTAAAAAATATATTACAAACCAAATTCCTTATTTTTTAGATTTTATATACATTTCTTTTAAATTTCTTTTTTAATACCAAGAGATCACAAAAACCACCCGAAACCGAAACCGGCCGGTTCTGATCTAATTGTTACCAATTAGATCACTCTGTTTTTCCAACGTGGGTACTATTTGAAGGTGCGCCGTACTTTGAGTATTTAGGGCCTCGACCTTATACAAACCACACCCTTAAATTATAGGGAAAATTTATCTGTACACCATATTTTGGGAAACCATTTATTAAGAGACCCAAGGTTTCAAAACTTTTAGGGCAACATAGGGATTTAAACTATTGTATCTTTTAACCCCTTGGACCCAAATAAGCTAATTTGAACACACATTATTGACCCAAACAAAATGTTAAATGATGTCTTTTTTTATTTTGAAAGGGGTTTTAAAAAGAGAGAAAGTGAGCGAGAAAAACAAAAGCACTTTGGAGAAAGAGAGATGTTTAAGAGAGAGAAGGGTTTTAGAGAAAGATAAAGGTTTAAGAGAGAAACATTATAGAGATATACGTTTAGATAAAAAAAACACAAATAGAAATATGTGTTGTTTAACATTTTGTTTGGGTCAATAATGTGTGGTCAATTGGACTTATTTAAATCAAGTGAATTATAATATACAATAATTTGAATCCATATATTATGAGAAAGATCTTGAAACTTTTGGTCTCTTTAAAAACGGTTTCCTTAAATAGAGTCTAGAATAAAACTTTTCCCTAATTTGTATTACCCCATTTGAGATACATGCTCATTTTGCTTTAAATGAGTCAGATTCCCAATCAAGGTTTCAAACTAAATTATCCCATTCGATGATCCACTTCCATTTTGTTTTAGATAATAAGCCAAATTTTCAATCAAGGTTTCAAAACCTATTGATATGGATTGGGATTTATAGATCCAGGACCAGTAATCGACTTGGTTCTAAGAAGGTTCCGGTACCTACACAATCCCCTCATAAAACTTAGGGCTGGCAACAAGTTTGGCATGGGTAGGGCCAACCTTAGCCCAAGCCGAACCTAGTTCCTATAGGGATTTTCCCTAGCCATGCTTGGCCCCGACCAGGCCAATGAGAGTTGGGAAGCGTTGGCCTTTTGTGCCCTGTCCTGTCCCAACCCTTCGGCCATTCTTGACTAATTTTTTTTAACTTTTTTCTTTTTGGCATTTATTTTTTCTGTCTCCTAAGCATTATCATGTTTGGGATATCATCCATTTGAGTTTTTTATCTAGGAAAATATTTGTTTTCCTTTTCATTTGATGTCATTGTTTGCCGTATGAATCATAGGAAAAAGTGACTTATGCGTCTATGGGTGCATAACTACATTTGCACCCTCCAAGGCATCACACATCCATCTTAAAAATTATTTTTTTAACGCATTCACGACCTCCATGTTAAAGATTATATATACCTACAAAATTAAGTCCGAAACCCATCTCAAAATATAGGTCACGAACATGGGGTGTATATCTACGTATGCATCTTAGGATTTATAAAAAGGTGCGGTTTCTATAAGGATGCAACCTTAAATAATCCAATTAAGGTGCACTTTAAAATTTTATTATAAATTTTTTTTGGTATTATATTAAAATCTATTTTCATACCTAATTAGAAAATTTTAAATTTAAAAAATAGATAAAATCGAGTAGATCTATAAATAAATTAAAATCTTGAAAATAGACGGTATAGATAATGTGTTGCAAGATGCACTATTTCGGGGACTCAAATTTTTTTTTTTCATATTCATACATCTCAATGTCGAGATGATTGATTAAGAGGGTTTATTCAACATTAAAACAACATTTCCTATAGATTTTTGAGATGCGCCTGTAATTCTACATTTTAAGGTTGCAACTTTGTATAAACTTTTCCCTTTATAAAAAATCATGTCCTTTATCATCTCCATTTTCCTTGTTTAAATGGAGCAACATACACCATAAGATTTAAGAGACAGTGGATAAGGTCGAGGGAAAAGATGTACAATCTGCTTTCATGAGATCATGAAATCTTATCGCTTTTGTTAAACGTACAACTACGCAATGATGGCAAAGGCTGCCCTGGGCCGGCGGGGCCATCCTTGGGTGTGGTCTTGCTATTGTTCCCGTAGGACTGCCCGAGACCTAGCCCGGGCCAAAAACGAATAAAAAAAAATAGAAGACAAAATAAAAATAAAAAGGGCCAGGCGGGCTGGCATTGGCATGGCCCCCAGGCCATGGTTTGTGGCTCAAGCTCTACCTTTTTTTAGGTCGGTTCAGGTTGCCTTGGCCATTGCCAACCCTACCATTATGCTAACCATTCTCGATCGTTATAATCGTCAATTAGGTTGGGGAATTAAAGAGAGAAGGTTTGAACACTTCTTGTTTTTTGTGCATGAAAATGATCGTAGCTCACCAGCCATATACTCAGGTCTCTCACTTACAGAGGGTAGGCTTACTTGATCCGAATGGATCTAATTGTGGAAGGATTCCAAACTAAGTTGGACGGGTGGGAGAGGAGGAAATTTCAGTTGGTGAAGTGGAGTGACGCGCTTTTATTGTAGAAAGATGGGGTCTAGGATTGCGGAAACTGAGATTTATGAATGAATCTCTCTTAAGTAAGTGATACGGTATCTGTAAAAAAGAAATTGTAGAAAGATGGGGTCTAGGATTGCGGAAACTGAGATTTATGAATGAATCTCTCTTAAGTAAGTGATGCGGTATCTGTAAAAAGAAATTGTAGAAAGATGGGGTCTAGGATTGCGGAAACTGAGATTTATGAATGAATCTCTCTTAAGTAAGTGATGCGGTATCTGTAAAAAGAAATTGTAATGGGTCCTTTGTATCTACAATCCGAGGATAAAGTTCTATATAAAATTGTATATAACTTAATTCCATATAACTTTATGGTGAACATTATGGTGAACATTACTAGATAATATATAATGTATTACAGTAAATATCTTTATTAAAAAAGTGAATTATCAATGCGAACAAGTACATTCAAACACAAAGAGTTCATATAGAGCCGATACTCTTAATAATCAAATTAGAACCCACATCAAAAATTTCACTAAAAAGAGGTCATTTTGATGTTAAAATATCATCAAATTGATCATCTCGACATCTAGATGCATGGACATGAGAAAAAAATAGATTTCAAATTTTAAAAATGGTACATCTTGTAATGCATTTTTTGTACTGTCAATTTTAAAATTTTTTAAGTCTTTATAGATCTACTGAATCCATATTATTTTTTAAACTTTAAATTTTATAATAAAAATAATAATAGATATCAAGAATATTATAAAGGTTTTCAGTATTGAAACCACATTTGTCGACACTACTTGAAAATACGTTTACTTTGATTGTTTAGAGCCTCAGCTCTAACTGAACCCTTCAAACACCCCTTCTTTGCTCTCTTTATTTCTCACCCTTTCTATCATATGCATGACTTATTTGATCAACTCATTCTCGAACGTCCAAATCCATACGCGACATCTTGGCCGTGCAAAGGATGATTGTCCCGACTTAAAACCCGCTATAAAATGACCACGGGCTTCTAAACCCTGTTTAAACGACTCCTCTCGCGGTTGGCTCTTGGAGACTGATATCAAAGTTTGAGTAGTGTGTGTGAGAGTGAGAGGTATTTCCCTTCCATTCTTCCGAATTTTACTTCTTTTTCCAGTGAACTTCTCTATCTGGATCTGTTTTCTCACTCGAAAATTTCTATTATCTCTCTCTAGATCTGTTTTCTCCCTCAAAAATCTCAATTTTTTACACTGAAATGATCTGTTTTGAACCCAACATCTATATCTCGTTATCTTTATTAGGGATGACTGCTCAGCATAAACCCTAGATTTTAGATGATCTATGATACTATGATCTAAGTAGTCTTTCTTTCTCTGGATTGGTGATGGGTTTTGTTGGAAGTTTATGATCAATATTGCTGCAAAATGCATCTCATTTTTAAATTTCATGATATTGAGAATGCTATTTTTTTTTCTTTCAAATGGATGTATATGGTGTTCTGTTCTGTTTCCTTTTTTTTTTTCTGAGAGAATGCCAAGGTTTTGCAAAGTAGCATTGTTATTATGTAATTGATGCTTTCAGTTTTATTCCATTTTAATTTTCCCATATATCTGCCTTATTGTTTGATTTGCAATGGAGATGAGGTACGAATGAAAATATGGCGGTGTTATTTCTTACAACTTTATTAGTAGCTCCTAGTTGTATTGATGTTTTGATAGTGCTCGCATTATAATGAATTGTTATATTTCGTATAGTGTATATTTATGGGTAGTCTATACTATGTGATGGTGACTTGAGAGAATGGAAACAGTTTGTTTTTACACTATTCGATTGAATGAAATGAACGTGGTTGCCGAAGAAATTTGTCTGAAATATTTCTTTTCTTGCTGCCGTTGAAAAATTTGTCTAGTTTAAGTGTCTGGATTCATAGTTAACTGTGTGGAACAGTCTTTTGTGATAGCCTCTCCATGATGAACGTTCTCTTATTCTCTTAGTACTTTTCATTGATTTTTTTGATAGACAGAATGAAATACCTCAACCATAAAGTTCAAACTTCAAATACATAGATAAGTATTCTAGGTCAGCATGTGTCATTGGAAAAAAGTCAATACCAATGGCTTTTGAAATTCGTTTATTGCACTTTGAGTAATGTCCCTTTCTTGGAAATTATCTGTTAGTTACTTTGGCACTTGTGATTTGTTTCGTTGGATCTGTCTTCAGTGTTTCATTTTGCAAAGAGGCTTAATTATTTTTAAAATTTGGTCAATCTGGTGGAATTTTGTAATTTTGTTTTGGAAAGGTATACAATAAGACTATTTACATTTGGTACAAGGAGGTCACAATCATGTTAGACTGTTAATTTGAAATTGGGTTGCTGTGGGTGTTCTATTGATTGGGCTCAAAGTTCAAAAGAAATTTCTCAAACTTTGTGAAAAGTGTCGGAGTTCACATCTAATGGCCAGGAGCAATTGTGACCTCCTTGTTCCAAAGTTAAATGTTTGTATAGTATAAAATTTTATTTTGTACTGCTTCCTTCATTGATATAAATAGGGTAGGCAACAGAATCTAAAGAATATTTTAAGATTTTTGAAATTCAGAAACTGTTGTCCATTGACCATTGGTTATGGAACGCTAAAACTAGAGATAAATGAAATAAATTTTAAATCATAGCTCTTCATCAATCCCCATGTCATTGGTGCCATGTTGTTTCCTTGCGAGGCTATGGTTTTTGTAGCAGGTTTATGAAGTTCATAACCAATTGAGTGTGGCTGATTGGAGGGATCATTTCAACAATAATAAAAAAAAAAGATCTATGAGGAAATATGAGGAAAAGAATTACTGATAAACAAATGAAATTCCCTAGAATTTCACCAAAGATTACCATGTTTACTCCATCAGTATATTACCTAGATCCAACACCCGAATCATTCATAGCAACTCAAATGAATCCCTTGATCCATTTAATGAGGATTAGAGAAAAGATAAAGCATCTTTGCATGCATAATCTTGAAACCCTAATCACACATAGTAATCCTACTACGGGTATGATCTGAAACTTTAAAAAGAAGAAGAAAACAAGAATTTTTCCAAAACAAGAAAAGAAGAAGAAGAAAGCAAGGTCTAGAGTTTGTAAATGTAGAAGTGAGAGAGAATGTTCAGGAGAGAGAGAGAGAGAGAGAGAGAGAGAGAGAGAGAGAGAGAGAGAGAGAGAGAGAGAACGTAAACTAAACTAACTAATAACTAACTAACTACGTACGTACGTCTACTACAGTAAGAGTAACGTTTAACCTTTACCGTTTACCGTACCGGTACGG